TATATATATATAGTATATATAGTGTGTGTGTATGTATGCATGTATATATATACATATATATATGTATGTCAAGTTTCTACAGGTCACAGTCAGTTGTGTAGGTGCACCAAACAGCTTGGTATAGCTTAGTATATGGCAGACGTCAGTCAAGACAATTTGTAGGACATCAGTGGTCTCAGACTTCACTCGTCATTGGGATTTTACAAGTGGGGAAACTAGTCAGGAAAGCGTTTGTTGAGCTCTTCGCTGGGGAGATGATGAACATGGTAATGATGATTATAGCAGAGCAGCTGGGTGACCATGGGAAACGTCTACATTATTTCTGACCTCTACTTTTTAAAATCCAACTCACTTAAAAATTTCCTTGTTCATTCATTCACCTGTCATTTACTCTATGTCTGTTACGGAATAAATACTGTACCAGGCATTAGAGCCAGGAAGAAGAACAAGGCTCTGTGGGACGTGTGGGCTGGTTATTCAGCACATCTCCTCCAGCTCTTCCCCTACTGCCTCCTCTCCTTGGCAGGATGTTGATTTTGCTTGAGATGAAATGTGCTGGTCAAAACTTCATTTATAGAGTCTCTACTGCTAAGTAGTACTGAGCATTAAAACATGAACAGAAGCTCCACTTCATTTTTCCATTAAAGGTGAGAGATGAGCCCTGCCCTGAGCTTGGAGGTGATAAATGCCATGGCAATCATTTTCTACCATCAAGAAAAGAAAGTGGTTTACTATTGTTAGGAGTGAGGAGCTCAATGCAGCAATACTGAACTCATGACTTGCTATGCAAGAAAAATCAATTTCTAGTTGTTTAAGTTACTGTTAGATTAAATTCTATTCATGCCAAATATGTCTCATGTGTGCAGAGACAAACACATAACAGGTAAGTGGTATAGAGTTGTAAGGGAAAACCAGAAAGGAATACACAGGGAGGGAGAGGAAGAATTAACAGTGCATCCGAGTTGTCAAGTGACATAAATACTGTTTATGCAATGAAATCACCTGGTGATTTTTGACCAACAGGTGTCCATGGAAAAGAGATGGAGAACTCAAGGCATAGAAGGCTGAAAAGTGCCTAAGAAGTGTGTGTGTGTGTGTGTGTGTGTGTGTAGGGGTGTGGGGGTGTGTGTGTGTGAGGGGTGGACAGGGTGCATTTATTGAGATCAGAGGTTGGCAAACTAGAGTCCATTGGGCCTATCTGGTGCATTACCTATTTTTTTTTTTCAAAGTTTCACTGGAACCCAGTTATACTAATTTATTCCAGGGTTATCTGTGGTTGTTTTCAGTGCTACAATGATAGAAATCAATATTGCAACAGATGTAGGATAGATCACAAACTCTACTCACTGCCATCAAGTCAGTTCTGACTCACAGTGTCACCCAAAGAAGTTGTAAACTTCAATGGGAAGAGACAGCCCATCTTTCTGCTGAGAACTGGCGAGTTCAAACCACTGGAGACACACAGCCTTCGAGTTAGAGGTAAACGTAACACAGCAGAAAAATATTTACTACCTGAACTTGTAAAAAGCAAGCTTGCAGGCTCCTTATTTAGACAATTATTTAAAAGTTAGTTTATTTTTTACTGCACCAAAGGAACCAAGGAAGAGAGAGATAGGTTGAGAAAGACAAATGCCTAAAGGATTTTGGTTTTTCATTTTTCAGAAAAGGCAAATACCTGAGCATTGTTACAGTCTGTGGAGAAGCTTCCAGTAGAGAGGGAAGAACTGAAACTAGAGAGAGACACTAACCACTGGAGAAGAACAAAGAAAGCTTCTGAGCACTGAGTTTGCACACAAGGTAAGGAAGGTAAGACCTGGTGTCTGCAGGTTGATTGTCCTACCAGGAATGCTCCCCCCCAGGGATTCCAAACAGGCATGTGAGGTTCAGCTCTGTACAAAGGTTCAGAACCTGCTCTTTGCTAGCAGTACAAAGAGTGAGGCTGAAAAGAGAGGCGATATTCTGGCAATGTTTTAGTCTCCGTGTTTCCCTCTTAGTCAAATTAATTTTTACCTGGGGATTGGAAAGTCTAACCAATCAAGAATTTCAAAGCACTCCAAAACTAGAAAATGTCACTAAAATGCTTAATAATATTAGAATTCTCCTGGCAGCAGGATGCTGTGGGAATTAAAAGAGAGATGCCTTCATAGTTCCTGAAAGATGAAAAGCTTGGTCTAGACGTTAGATATCAGCAGCTACCATCGTTACAAAAAGCACAGTTTACATGAACCATGCAATTGCACAAAACAAGGTGGAATAAAACTGCTTTTCAAAGAAGACAAGAAAGTGAGATAGATTAAAACTGGAAAGAAGTTGTGCACTCTTTCTTTTAAGCTTAGGCGTCTATAGCATGTATTCGGCCCATTTAGGTTTTCATTTTCAACTGTGTATGCCTGAAGAAAATGTCATATTAACTGTCTCGGATTCTTAAAAATTTCTCTTTGCTCATTCTTACACCTTAATCCACTCAGACCTCTAATAGCTATTTATCCAGCTCTATAACTTCATTTTCTTAATGTCAGTATAATCTGAGGAGAGTCCACAGTTACACTGTCTAGATCGGTAGACCAGTCAGATCTCAATGAGAATCGGATTGAGGCCACAGCCCTGACAAGCAGCCGAAGGCAGCAAACTCACAATGAAGAAGCCACAAGATAATGGAGGCAAATGGCTACGGTCTTCTCCTTAAAAGAGTTTGGGAAAATATCTAGTACAAGACACAAAGGAAGAACTTGTGTCAGAAATTACTTCATTAAATATGCGCCATAATATCACAATGCCTAGAAGGTGTTCTAACCCAGACAAGACAATCCTGTCCTTCCAGCTTCTCATGCAGCTTTAGACCTTCAATTTCATCTCCTTGGTGTTCTTGTTCTTGCCATCGAGTCAGACCAACTCATAGATGACTCTCTAGCACGTTTTCCAAAGCAATAAACTGCATGAAAGGAGACTGCCCATCCTTCTCCCACAGAGCAGCTGGTGAATTCAAACCTCATTCCTTTGGGATTGAGAGGTAGCGTCTTATCACTTGGCTACCAGAGCTCCATCATTTTAGCTCGCAGAAAACTACCAAGCGCTCACTCATAAAAAAGTGTTCTCAGCCAGTTTTTCCAAAAGGGCTGGCCTTAAAACCCCCCAAAACAAAGCAAAACACAACACAACAACAACAACCCCAAAGGGCTGGCCTAAGCTGACAGAAGATCAGGAAGGATGTCCTCAACCATATCTTTTCTCTCAATGTTACTCCCGACAAAATCAACAAGGCCCCAGACTGGCATGCCACCCAAGATCGCACAGCTAGTGAATGCATAACGTAAGACTAGAATGAACGGAATCCAGAATTCACAGCTCATTTAGTAGACAGTGGCTGTATCATGAAATTTAAGCTTTCTGACAAGCTGGAGGACATTTTATCGTACATAGAAAGAGTATGGAGTAATTATACAACCAGTGAACCATACAGAAGCAGATTAGAAGTCTCTCACTTGTCCCTAGATACTTTACAAGTTCATTTCATTTCAATATACTTCCTGTGTACAACACTCCTGACAGTCATAGTAAATAACCAAGTTAGAGAAGTGATGCCTTTGAGTTGTGGAACTGGTGAAGATTATGAACTGTATGTCATGGATTGCCAAAAAATGAAACAGTATGGTCAGGAGGTAAGAAATGTGTTTTATTATTATAAAACTGAATGCTGAATGCTTGGGGCTGAACACCAAGCATAATGCTTGGCCCAGTCTATACGCTTAGAACTTTTGTTGAGCAAATGAGTAAGAGGAACTCTAGCTGATAGTATTCCTCTATAATGCATGTTCTAGTAGGCATGAGGATTATAAGTATCTCTATCTCTATCTCTCTATTATCTATCTATCTATCTATGTTTATGACCATATTTTTAGCTTTTATATACAACTTTTGAATGTCCCACTGCTTTTTTACAAGAGCAGACTTAAAGGAGATGTCCATGTTGGAGAGAAAGTATGGAATGGAAGGGAATGTTACATGGATTGAACTGAAGAATGAACTCTATCCTGAGGGCAGCTGTGCCCTAAAAATAGGGTTCCTGCTCTAATGTTTCCTTTTTGGGGGCATTGAAGTTGACTTCTACTTGCTGGCAGTTGAGAATCTTAAAGAACAACACTTACTTGTTCCCATGAAGAAATCATATGGCGTTCGGCAGGCGTCTTTTCTATGATGGTCATCTCTGACACACCTGGGGAAGATTCTGGAGAGGGGAAAAAAGAGAGTCTGTGGAGTTGCAACTGGCTTGAGGTTGGCTACCCGCTGACAACAAGTAAGACCATGAGATCCCGTTTAAAATCATTACTCTGGTAATGCAAGTAGGAAGAACTGGTCCCTAAGCTGCATCTGATCCCATATCTAAAACCATAAAATCCACCTGGCAAAAAGGACATCAATAGAAAGTACTCAATACTAACTTGTTACCCATTCATTTAGCTTGTTAATCAAAGAGAAGAGAATTCTCCATTCCAAGTGATTTTCATGTTGAACTTCTTTCAGTTAGCTAAGTCTATACACTATAGTATCATAAAAATGAATAAAGGATAACATCTCAGTGCCTTTTAGAAGAAAAAAAACCACAACAAAACAAAAACAAACTTGCTTTCTAGTCATTTATTTCTAAATTAAGTTATTCTGGAACATTAACCTACTTTCTGAGAGCTCTGACTTAGAAGTGAGACTAACATTATGAAAAGTCGACTGAACCTAGAAATCTATCAAGAGTGAGTTAAGTCACATCTCTAAATTCTCAAAGCAAGGAGTAGTCTCCAGATAATCTAACCTTTCCTTGTGGAGTTGTGTTGTATTTACTCAGAGGCAGATAAGAAGACCACTGAGTGGTAATGCCAAAGGTTTAATACCGCTGTGCTGGGAGCTCTGGTGGCCTCGTGGTAAGAAGCTGCAGCACCACCTCCCAGCGGCACAGCATTCAGATCATCCATCAGCTGCTCTGCAGGAGAAAGGTGGGTAACCTACTCCCGTGTGATTTCCTGCTTGTGAAAGCCCAGCAGGGACTCAGTCCCAACTCCATGGCACACAACAACAACAATTACTCTACCAAGCATGATGTCCTTTTCCAGAGGCTGAGCCCTCCTAGTGACTTGTCCATAATACATTAAGACAAGAGTTTCATGTCCTCTTTTGGCAGTTCATGGTATCTTCAATGTCCTTCACCAACATCATAACCCAAAGGCATTCATTTAGCTTTCGTTTTGCGTATGTTTTGTCCAGGTTTGCTATGCATGAGAGGTGGCTGAATATATATCATGGCTTGAGTCAGGTGCATCTTAGTCCTCAAAGAGACACCTTTTGTTTTTTCATACTTGAAAGAGGTGGGTTTTCTGTTTGTTTGTTTTGCAGCAGGCATGCTTGCTAACTGTGGACCCCAGTAAAAGAAAATCCTTGACAACCTCACTATCTTCTGCTTATCATGATGTAGCTAATCGGCCCAGCTGTGATTCACTGAGGTGTAATTCAAACTGAAGGCCGTGGTCTTTGATCTTCATCAGTAAATGCTTCAAGTCGCCTTTGTTTTCAGCAAGCAAGGTCCGTCATCTGCATAGTGAGAGCTGTTAATGAGTGTTCCTTGAATTTTGATGCTATGTTCTTCTTCACATAGTCTAGCTTCGCAGATTTGCTCAGCACATTTACTGAATAAAGTATGGTGAAAGGATACTGCACTAACATACCTTTCCTGATTAGAGACCATGCTGTATCCCCTTGTTTTGTTTAAATAATACCCTCTTGGTCTACATATAGGTTTCATGTAAGCACAATTATTAGATCTGGAAGTCTTCTTCTTTGTAATGTTATCCATAATTTGTTACGATTCTCATGGTCAAATGCCTTTGCACAGTCAGTAGAACACAGGGAAACATCTTTCTGGTGTTCTCTGTTTCCAGCCAAGACCCATCTGAGATCAGCAAGGACACCTCGTTCCCTATGCTCTTCTGAATATGGCCAATCTGCAGGTGAAAACTTTCCTCAATTCTTTTTTTGTTTGAAGGATAATTTCACTAGTTACAACATTTCAGGTTTGCTTCCCTCCTCCCTTTATAACCTTTTAAATATTTCTACTTTCTTTTTGCTTTCATTGTTTCTGAAGAGAAGTCCAATGTAATTCTTATCCTTGTTTCTCTATAGATTAAGGGCTTGGTTGGTTTGGGGGGTTTTTGGTCCTCTCTCATGTGCTTCTTTTCCGAGTTTGTTTTGGTCTGATTTTCTATAGTTGAATATAGTAAGTCTAGGTGTAGATTTTTTCTTAATACTCATTTTATTGGTATGCTGAGCTTCTGGACTTGTGTTGTGGAGTCTACTAATAATCTGAGAATACTCCTGAGGTCTCAGCTTCATCTACGTTCTCGGTTCCATTTTTTGAGCTAGTAATTCTACCCTGTAAGTGGTACTTCCATGAAAGGTGGCACATGTTTGCTCCTGAAGCATTCAATTTTATCAGTCTGCAACCTGACATTGGAATAGGCTTTTTTCAGTGTGTACCCTCTCTCTGTTCTTCCTAAAGCAGTGTTCCTGTTGATGCCATTTTCTCAAGAACTTTGGATGTTATGGTGTTCATTCTATAATATAAAACAAGTCTCAGCAGATTTTATAAAGTCTTTTCCATTGTTGATTTCTGAGTAGATGGTTGAAGGGTGAACAGTCTTGGGCGTCCTGTGACAGTATGGGAATGGAAAAGGGACAGGGGGGTCTGGCAGGCTGAGATTTAGTCTCAGTCATCACACACTTTTGGGTTTCTCTGTCTCCAAGCAATGCTCAGAGTTTGCTTCTGGTAAAAATATGGAAATATGGAATTATTGCATCTCATCTGGGGAGGAGATTTTGGGAAGTTGCTTTCTACTCAGGTACTTCAGACTTCTGCTACTTTGTTTCAATAATGCTCCTAATCTATCCTCTTCTTAGAACAAAAAAATGTCAAATGTGAAAAAAAACGGATTTTACATTAATAATTATTAACCTGAAAATTAGGAAGTTTTGATAAACATTATTATTAGAATGTTTAGTGAGGTTAAAAGGAGCTCTGGTGGCCCAGTGGCAAGATGCTGCACTGTAATCCGAAGGCATGTGGTTCAAGGCCATCAGCTGCTTGGCAGAAGGTTGGGCAAGCTCTTCTTGCCTCTGAAGACCTGCTGGATTAGCTATGGGTCAATTCCAACTTGAAGGTACAAAACAGCAACAAGTGAGGTTGTTTGTTGTTGTTGTTGTTATGTGCCGTCAAGTAGCTTGTGACTCAGAGTGACACTATGTACAAACAGCCCTGAAACTTGCTCTATCCTGTGCCAACGTTACTGTCACTGACACACCAACCCCCATTACCCCAGTCACTGCATCAATCCATCTCATTAATGGTCTCTCTCTCCTTCTCCATCTTTCCACCCTTCTAAGCATGATGCCCCTCCTTGCAACATGTCCAAAATATGTCAGATGAAGCCTCAGAATCATTGCCTCCAAGGAGCAGCCTGGCTTCACCCTTTCCAGGACAAACCTGTTTGTTCTCCTGGCACTCCATGGTATATTCAACACTCTTCTTCAGAACCACAGCTCAAAGGCCTCCTATCATGCCTAGTCATGTCCAGCTCTCTGACACATAGCAAGCAACTGCAAAGACTACAGCCTGAATCAGGCACACCTTAGTTTCCAGACTGATGTCACTGCTCTTCAGTACTCGGAAGAGGTCCCTGAAGGCCAACTTTCCTGATGCAATTCGTCTCTTGATTTCCTTGCTGCTGGTACCAAGAGTGTGGATTGTGGAGCCAAGCAAGCTAAAGCTGTTAACAATCTCAATCTCTTCACCATCTATCATAATGCTGCCAATCAGCCCAGTGGTGAGAATCTTTGTTTTCTTGATATTGCGCTTCAATCCATATTGAAGGTTGCAGTCCTTGATCTTCTGCAGCAAGCACTTCAGGTCCTCCTCAGTTTCAGCAAGCAGGGTTGTATCATCTGAATAATATAGATTGTTGAATCATCCTCCAATCCTGATGTCACATTCCTCCTCATACAGCTCAGCCTCCCAGATGATGATCTGTTCTGCAGAAGAGTTATTTAATTCCTTAAGTGGGTTTTGCCTTCTAAGAGTTAAAAATTTATCTCTTCCATAGGGGAGCTCTGGTGGCCTAGTGGCAAGAAGCTGCAACTACAATCCCAGAGGCTCACGGTTCAAATCCAACAGATGCTCTGCCGGGAAAAGGAGGGACAATCTCCTCCTGTACCAGTCAGATCTGATTTGACGGTACACTCACACAAAAATAAAAAAAAAAAAAATAAAAAAAATATTTATCTCTTCCAGTTAGATCAACTGCCTCTGAAAGCCGACTGGAGAGTCAGTGATGGGTCAATTCCGACTCCACGGCACAAAACAACAACATACACATAAAATGTTTAAAAATTCAAAGATACTAAATTTGTAAGTATAATTTTAAATATTTAGTTATTTAATGTCATAAGGCATTAACTCAAACTGACAGCTGAAGGAACATTTTAGTTTGGATAACCTGAGTTGCTTAAATATTTGCCAAAAGAAAGTAAGTACTTGTTTATATTTAACTTGCTAGATTTATAAAGAGAGTAACAAATCATACCTATGGAATGGCAAGACCTGCTGGACTGAGTCACGAGTACAGGAAAAAACAGAATAGAAGTTTGCGTAAGAATGAGGAGAAAGGGTAATGAGTGGTTTTTATGGTTACACCTGCCACTACCCTATTCTGTAACTTCATCTCTAAAACTCATCACTTCCCCTAAATACACTATGGTGTTTCACGTCAAGTCATTGTTCTAAGCACTGAAGAATATAAGACAAAGTTCCTGTCCTCCAGGTATTTCTATTACTGTAAAGAGACAAAGACCCTTAAAAGGGAACCAGCTAAATATATTCTTTCAAGAAGAGAAAAGCAAGGGATATGAGAACTTTTTATAAAGGTAAGGTACTAAAAGAAGGAAAGAGTTAATTAATGTGAATGTTGTGAAATAACTTTTAGGTTCAGCTTCTCTAAGGCCGTGACATTAAATCAATGATCTCAAAGAAATGAGAACATATTCAAGCATCCAGTGGAAGTTAATTGCAGGAAAGAGAGTTCTAGACAATGGCAAAGGCCTCCATGCAGCATAAAAACAAAATCAGAAAGACAGAGTCACTTCATACAGAGACTTGTGGTTCATGGAATAGAATTTGGATTTTAACGTAAATGTGATGGAAAGGTGCTTTTCTGCTGGCTAGACTGCATTTCTTCTTCTACTTATCCAGCGAACTTTCATTTGTCTTTCACAATGTAACATTATTTCCTTTGCAAAGCCATCAGCAATTCCTCAGGAAAATGAATCTCTTCTGTACTCTAAGAAATAACAGACTAGTGACCTCCTTTCACATTTGCTGTTGAGTCAGTTTTGACTCATGGGGAGCCCCGCCATGTCCGAGGGGGTTGTGCTCTGAAGGGGTTTCAAGAAGAGGGTCACTGGGAGCTCTGGTGGCCTAGTGGCAAGAAGCTGCACTGCAATCCCCAAGAAGCAGGTCACCAGGCCTGTCTTCCCAGATGCCCATGGGCAGGTACTCATTGCCAACCATCGGTTGGAAGTGATGCACTAAGCTACTTGCACCACTCTTCTCCAAATCCCAACCAGGTATGTGAAGTTCATCTACCTCATAGTGAGTGCACAGGGTGAAGATCAGCCTCCTAAGGCTATAAAATCTTCCCATTCCTGGGTTGGAACCATCGCCCTTTCACATAACAGCCCAGTGCTTAACCACTTTGCTACTAAGGCTCCTTACCACCTGTGTAGGCAAAATGGCTTTTCTGGCTCATAGCTGGGTAGGAATATGCAACTCAAGTGGGTAAGTGGCTCATGACGGGATTGACTAGCTTTGAAATCCCACCAGGTTTCCATTCAGCCAGGTTTTCAGCAGCAGATGAGATTCACTATTAGCACGGCTGAAGAAACAGAGACTGCAGGAGCATCTTTTGGGGCCAGAGCCTCCTGTGCTGGTCAGACTGGGCCCTATACAAGGGCAGCAGCCGCTACAGTACAGAACCAGAGATGAGCCTTGGGAGGGCTGTCCCAAGGGGCGTTTGCCAAGCTTGCTGGAGGACTAGGGGGTGATGCCACCTAACCTGCGAAGCAGAAAGCTAAAGGGCCTGCAAGTATGTCTGAGAAGTCTTGATAGAAGAGTTATATCCTGTTGCCAAACTGAATTGTAACCTTTTAACTTCCCAGACAGACCCCATAATCATGAGGGTCTATGAGATTTGTGTGGCTCTGGAATAGACTGTGGATCCAATAGTATAACAGTGTTGGAAGCTCTGGGAGGAATGAGGGGCACTAAATATGGGAGAAATAGGTGTTGCAGGAATGTGGGGGACATGCCTGATTTTGTGGAGACTGGTTTTGTGTTGTGGAAGTTGTTGATGAGGGCAGCTCTCCTTTGGGGTACACAGAGGTCCCTATGCCACTAACATTCATTGTATACTAGCCTTCTAGAGACCAACTATTTATCTTTTTTCAGATTGCCTTTTCATCTCTGTAAAACCCCAGAGTTTTTTGCACAATAACCCAGTGCCATCGAGTATCATCCAGTTGAGTTAGAATTGGGTTTTCGAGGCGATAAGTCTCAGTGGGAGCCTGAACATCTTTCTCCCACATAATGGTAAGTGCCAAATAAATGCCCATAAAGGACATCTAACCTATGCAGTGGTGGAAGCTTGGTTCTGGATGACTCTACATGCTGTATGACCCTAGAGGCTGCGTCACCCTGGGTGTTGTACGAGTAAGGGGCACAGCAGGTGTTGGCTGGCGAGGTTGACTACAACGTTTCCCCAGCTAAGAAAGGACTGGAGTTCAAGGATACACTGTTGATTAATAACGCCTCCTAGGAAACCAAACCTCCCAACTGTCAAGTATCTGCCGCCTCTCCTTTGCATGCCTTTGCCCATCCCTGCAGGGCTCCAGGGTGAGAGCTCGGCTGGACCTTTGGGATCTCCAGTTCAGCCTCCGAACACTCTTGCAAATCCTTGCGGGCCCAAGTCATGCACCCTGCTCTTCTCTCCTCCTTAACAACGGAAGTCACATAAGTGATGTCCAGCGCTGTGCTGCTGCTCTCTGCTCACATCGTCCCTCGGCCCCTTTCTTCTCCATCTCCCGGGTTCCCACGGCCACACCCTCCTCCCTCCGTCCCCCCACCCCTGGGCTCCCTGCTCCCACGGACCTAGGATGCGGGTGATCCCGAGGGTGAGTTTCTCCAGGTGCGGCTTGCTGCAGCCCAGCAGCGGGGGTGACTTCTCGTCCATGGCTCGTGCCTGGGCTGCGCGCGCGGCCGGGCGAGCGGCGGCGGCGGCGGGGAGAGGACAGGACAGCAGGGCCGGCCTCAGGGCTGGACCCCGCCTCAGGGCATGCCGGGAGTTGTCGTTTTCCGCGCCTGACAGCGCGGCGGCCAGGGATGGGGGTTTCCGGATGGTCCGGGAGCTGCGATTCCGCGGGGCTCTCGTTTCCGCGCCCCTGGTCGGCCCTCCAGACCACGTCCTCCGGACACACTCAGTCCTCCGGCCGGACCCTCTCCCACTGCCCGGTCAGGTCTCGCAGGCGGGGGCGGGCCTCCGCCCCGGGCGGCCAATGGGGGCCGAGCCTGCAGGCCGGGGCGGGGCGGCGCTGTTACGACGCGCCGTGTGGCGGTTGTTTCAAGATGGCGGACGTGGCGGGGCCGTCGCTCCCGGGCACCGCGGCGTTCTGGACCCGGGATGGTATCCTTTACCCGCCCGGCGAGGGGCGCCGTCCCGCTGCGGCCGGGGCTGCGGGGTCGCGAGGGACTCTGAGCGGCGAGGCGACCCTGTGCGCCGAGCTCGGGGGCCGGAACGTCTAGGCGCACGGCTTGCCCTTTGCTGAGGTTGTTAGGTGACAGGTACTGTCTCCAGGCTGGACTTTGCAAAGTGCAAAGGGCCCCGGTGACCTCTGCAAAGATGGCTTAGAATGATGCCCACCCCAGGAGGAAGGGTAGAAGTTGTTCTTGCCGGTGGCGACCCCGCAGGACCAGTCTGAGCACAGTGAGATTGTAGGGAGGGTGTGACCGGCAGGTAGCCTGTTTGTATTGGTTCAGGCGTGTCCTTGGCGCTGCCAGGAGCAACTCTGGATCTTGTTGGACCTTCTGTGGAGGATATAGTATCTTCTGGGGTTTGAAGAACTATGTGGAGCTTGGTGATTTGGGCTAGTGGTGCTTGTTGCAGAATAAGAAATCGTGCCTGTATGTAATGTTGACATCCATGTAGATTGCGTGTCACCCCTGGCAGATTGACGGTCTTGGATTCTTTAGAAGCACAGCTTTACCCCGTTCAGTTCCTGTGATGAAATGCTGGTGTGACAAGAGTCGTTGCTTTTCTAAAATAAGACAGGCTGTCCTAACCTAAGCATCGGTCTGCATCGTTTTACCTAAATGTAACTTGAAAGAAGTGTTAGGTGAAAGAGGAAGGTGAAGCAGTAACTATTTTGAGTAGTTGTAGAGGTGAATCTATTCAGATGCTTGATGATATTGTTGGAGATAACGGCTTTTCATTCATTCTGTAAACGTTCTACTTAATTCTCGGTGAAATTTACAGAATTGTATGATCGATTTGCTAAGTCTGGGCAAAGGGGGCCAAAGAGAAGAATGAAGAATTCAGAACTCAAATGCCTTGTCTGCTGCTGATAAGAAGAGCAAATGGCCTTGCTTGTCTGGCTGAGCTAGCAGGTGGATCGTAAATCAGAATGGAATGTCCCTCCCTAAAGACTCTGTTTATAAAAATTCTCCCCAGTGGGTTCACAGTGTGACTTCCCATTCTGCCTCTCCAGGATGAGGAACTCACCCGGGAGCTCCCCTATCCCCCCTTTAATAAAGCTGCATTAAGCTTTCTCTCGTTCTCTCTGATTTCTTCTGTAAGCCCACTAACCTAACCTAATCTAACCTGGTTAATTTTCTTAAGGTACTGAAATCCAAATGTCTTGCCCTGGAGAGAGGTACATTTTTGCTTTCAGGCTGAGTGTTTATGTTGTGCACTTAACTAAGCATCATTACCCCTTGTCTTTGTTAGGCTGGTGAGAATCAAATGAGATCTGTACATGCAGTGTGGAGGAAAGCTCACTGCTCACAGTGCAGATTAATCTTTTTTTATTGAACCTGCAGACTAGTAAGGATGTAAAGGAGATATGTGCTTTGAGAACAATTGAGCTGGATTAGAAGTCGGGAAATTGATCTCGGCTTTTTCTCAGGAAAACTGCTTCTGCGTTCTGATAGGGTTTCATCATGGAGACAGTACTTGAAGGTTATTAGCTTACAATGTGCTTCTTTAATCATTTCCATTAACCACTTAATACTTTGAAGGAATCCTGGGTTTGGTTACAGACCACTACTGTAAAGTGATATTACTGTAAAACAAGTCACACTAACGCTTTCGCTTCCCACTGCATGCAGAAGTTATGTTTATACTACTCTTTAGTCTCTTAAGTGTTTAATGTTGTTATGTACGACACAGTCCTGTCCAAAGCAAACCATCCTCCACTGAGTTCTCAGAGGCATTTAATTTCATGTTAGAAGATTGCCCATCCCTCTCCCGCAGAGCAGCTGGTAGATTTGAACCAAGTGCCTTTGTGATTGCTGCACACGTTCTTACCACTAGGCCACCAGAGCTTCCTAAAATATTATAAACTTTAAATAATGTGACATAGCGATATGATGTAAGCTCATGCTATTGCAAAAATGGTGCCAGTAGACTTGTTTGACAAAAAGTTGCCATATACCTTCAATTTGTAAAAAATGCAGTACCTGTTAAGCACAAGAAAGAAAAGTATGCATTATTGATTCTGTGTTAATGGTAAGTTATGGCCAACATTAAGAGGAATGGGAATCCCAGAACACTTCATTGTGCTCACGCGAAACGTAGACCTAGACCAAGAGGTTGTTATGCAAAGCAAGAACACACTACATGGTTTAAAATGAAGCATGGTGTGCATCAGTGTTGTGTCCTCTCTCTATAGCGATTCAATCTGTGTGCTGAGCAAATTACTCAAGAAGATGGACTCTATGAAGAATGTGGCATGAGGATCAGAAGAAGACTCATGAACAACTGTGTTAAGCAGATGGCACAACATTGCTTGCTGAAAATTAGAGAATTTGAAATGCTTGCTGCAGAAGATCAAAGACATAGCTTTTATTATGGATTATATATCAATATCAAGAAAACAAAAATTCTCACCATTAGATCAGTAGACACGACCTGATAGATGGGGAAGAGATTGAAATTGTCAGCAACTTCATCTTGCTTGGATCTATAGTCAATACTCTCGGTATCAGCAGTCAGGAAATTAGGAGGTCTATTGCTGTCAAAGACCCCTCAAAAATGCTGAGGAATAGTGATACAAATTTGAAGGTCATGGTCTTGTCAATCATTTGCTACACTTCTGAGAACTGGATAATGAATAAGGATGACAGAAGAATTATTGATGGCTTTGAACTATGGTGTTGGAGAAGAGTACTAAATATCCCATGGGCTGCCAAAAGAACGGATATTATTTGTCTTGGAGAAAGTACAGCCAAAGTGTTCTTTGGAGGCAAAGATGACAAAGCTTCATCTTACATAAGGTCCTCTTCCTGGGAAAGGGACACAGTGACTACTGCAGTGGGCTCTTATGTATTAGTAAGTGTGAGGATGGTGCAGGATAGAACAGGGTTCCAGTCTTTTGTTCATAGGGTCACTATGAGTCATGTTTGACTTGGCTATACCTAACAACAACAACAGCGATTATAGTTTTGTATACTAAACTTGGGCTCTTGGTCTTGGAAGCCTTGCAGTCTTACTTATGTCCCATTTCATGTTCTGTTGTTACTGTTAAGTACCATCAAGTCAGAAGCAGCTCATAGTTGATCCTCCACTCAGGTTTTCAAAGGCAGTAAATAACACCAACAAATATTGCCCATTTTTCTCCTGTGGAGTAACTGGTACATTCAAACGGCATACCTTTGGGTTGGCAGCACTATTCCTTCCCATTAAGCCACCAGAGCTCCCTTTTATAGAGAATATATTCTCCCTTATCGCTTATAATTTCATTTATTCTTAACATTTATGTAAACACCCATCTTCCCTTTGAAAGTGAGAAAAATGGTGACAATTACATTGTACAAAAATTCAGATATATGAAGTGAATTGCAAGGTTGCTAGTGTCACTACAGTTATAACAGCAAATCAGTATTCACTCTCAGCTATTTTACATCTTTTTAGGACATAAAAGCAATACTAAATGCAATCTTGATTGTTGTAAATCATTTGGAATTGTTGTTAGGTACTGTCAAGTTAAGGCTCCTACTACCCTGTGAACAGTGGATCTGAACCTTCCTCTATCCTGTGCCATCCTGACCACCTCTGACACACTTGAACCTATTGTTACTGTCACAGTGTCAGTCCATCCCATTGAGGGTCTTCTTTCACTGGCTCTTTTTTTTTTTAATTTTATTTTATTAATGTTAATGAACATTTACAGAGATTTTTTTATTTCCTTTCATTCATTGTTGCACTGTTTTCTCTACCCACCCTCAGTTCGTTCCTCTCTTTTTT